TACTTAAAAGGGAAAAAAACATTTTTAAAAGGAAATTCTACGAACATATCGAAATTATTAAAACTAAAGAAACACACAGAATGAACTTAAATACTGGTACTGTCATAAATGACATCTGGCAGCCTTTCCTAAGATGCAAAGCCCATTAAAGTTGTCCTACCATCCTCCCACCTTAACCCCCACTGTGCAATTCCCACCAACCTCTGTATATGTTACAAGGATCCCTCACTTCTTTGTAACATCTTCCATCAGACCTGTCCTCTACACATCTCTTCTGTATTTGTCACATCCTACAGGTATTCCGTTAATTTTTCATAATTTACACCTTTTTAATATACACTTTTTTAGTTTTGTGCATACCACTTTTTATTTTAACACACATTATACTATCCTCAGGTGCATGTATATTGATCTGATAGCACTATTTGCTCATTCCTCCTCCCGTGTTTAAATATGTGTATATATATCTTATGTGTAATACCAGCTTAATGGTCACTATCTCAGGTAATTGTATTTTATCATATAAATCACTGTACGCGTATACTAATTTTTTAAATGAATTCTGTAAATTTTGATACCTGTAACCAATTTGATAATTATGTAATAATAATAGGACTGAAGAGGGGCATTAAGCCCGAAATGCATATCAGTCCAAGTCAATAAAGCAACCTTTTTCCTCTTAAAGTGTTCCTGTATGATACGTTCTCAACAGCAACATTGTGCTAACCAAACACATATAATAGAGAACAACAAGCAACCTTGATTCAATTAAAATAATATCTTAAGTAGTCAAATGTATTGAGCAGAATGAATTTATTTTTATATTTCAAAACCTGCCACATCTATCTGATTATTTCGCCATGTCTATGCCATAAAGTCGTACATCACTTTCTTCTGACAAGTGAATGAAGTTAGAGAAACAGTAAGATTTTCAATGAAAACCTCCTATGAAGACACGTTACTGTTGATTTTTTTTTCATGTCAACGTAATACAAATTGTATAAAAAAAAAGCTTCAATCTCAAACTTTCTTCTGGCTTTATTTAAACCTGTTAAAAATTAGATGTACAAATCTTCTGGCATGCACCCAATAATTTATTTCTAAACTTATTGCTAAAATGAATTTCTGTAAGCTAAAAATTTAATCAAAAATGTACATTATCAGATAACTAATGATTAAATAAGCACACAAAACTGAGTTTTGTAGTTTGTTGATGGACATTGTGTAAATAAGCACTACGGATAAAACCAAAAATCAGTTTGAGTAGTTGTATTTATTTAGTTGTTAATGATTTTTCTCACTGGAAGTGTTAAAATATATTTACCACTGCAGACTTATTAAATTATATACTTGTAGGTGGGGTTTTTCTTGCTGTTAGTGCCACATACACTGCTGGTGGATCTGCATTTGTCGTACCGAGCTGTGCGGCAAAAAGTGGCGTGGAAGCCATTACTAAGTAATATTACTTTTTCGAATGAATTTTTATTTTGTTACGACAAATGTATATTTAATATACATACAATATAGATCTCTTGCCGTGGAATGGAGTAAATATGGAATGCGATTCAACTGCATCACACCAGGACCAATCAAAACAGAGGTTAATTTTTTTTATTATAATTTTTATATAAAATCTAGATTTTATATAAAATCTAGATTTATTAAACTTTTAATTTTTATATTAGGGTGCCTTTAGTCGTCTGGATCCATCTGGAACGAGACAAAATGAACTAATAAAATTATTACCTATTGGGCGAATGGGGGATGTAAAAGAAATGGCAAATCTTGCTGCATATCTTGTTAGCGATTACTCAAATTGGTTGACTGGAGAGGTAAGGAGTAAATTAATAAATTTTAAATGTGATTATGATAATGTGTGTCATTTTTTTTTTGTTTTGAAAATTTGTAAATTAAATAAAAGTAACATGTTGATGGATAAATTAAATTTCAAAATATAGTAGAAAATTTCTAATTATTGTCTAATTTTTCAGTGAAAACAAAAATGCAATTTTTCTTGAGTTACTACTAAATGGTGGTAAGGTGTCTTCCTCACTTAAGAGCTGTGGCTGGGTACCAATGGCTTCAAACAGTAGAACTCCCAAATTGATAGTGTACCAAACAATAGCTTCTCTTGTGGGTGCCAGGGTATAAGTGATTATTTACTGGCTCAGAGAGCGTCATACCCCTTTGTAGGGCTTGAACTAATTCTTGGTATTTCTTCTAATACTTTAGAATGACTGATAGCTCTAGATATCTCCAAGTGGACTAAGAAGTGGAGGACAACTCTTGACAGACAAAAAAAAATTTATTTTCCTAGCTTGCTTTGTGTAAACTGGGTTTTCTACATTTTGGCAAGAATCAGGTTACACTTTGGTCATCTTACAAGGAGACCCTACGGCTTTGGGGTAACACCTTTTATTTATTTACTCATTCATTTATAAGTATTTATGAATTTAAAAAAAAAAAACGTATACATGAGAATCAAATCCAGGAACTCAAGCGTACAAGTCAGGATTGTTATCACTCAGCCACAGGACACTCAAATGGAAGCATGTATAATTTATATATAAAGTGCTAAAAAAACTAAGTTTGTTTTTCTCAATTATATTTGAGTATTGCACTTTAGTATTTTACAGGTAGTACACTCACATGGTGTACTATCTCTACACCAAAGATCATCAAAAGCCGTAGGGTCTCCTTGTTAGTAAATGTTTGTAGCTGACCGAGCTTTCATCTCAGCCTTTCACCATTTTTCAGTTTGGCTGATGAGACTTCTCTGCATCTCATTTGTGACCTTCACTTGGGTAGACTTGTTCATCTAAGTTCTTCCTTTTTGAGCACTATTGATGTTTCCAAAAATTAGCAGATTTCTGAAGTAATTTCTCATAGGGTGTACAAACTGCATTTTGGCTGCATTCCTCTACTTGTACAGTACAATCTACAAGTTAATATAAATTCCTTCAGTGAGACCACTTGAAACTTTAAAGCAACTTATTACAATTGGAAAACTGCATAAATTGAATTTAATTCATTTCTCTCTCTTATTCTACTGTAAAATATAACTACTTGACAGTGACTGCATTCATAAATTATATTAACAGAGAAGAATGTACAAAATTTGAATCAGAAACAAAGGTAATTGTTATATAGAAAACTGTTGAATGTATTTTTTTCTTATCTATGAAAGAATTTCAGAAGCTGATTTTATTCCAAATGTAAATATTAACAGTGCACTTTTACTTGGATAAAAATAATTAGTACTCAGAATTCTATACAGAAATTTTATTACAGTTCATTAGAAATACTCAAATATATGAGATAATGTGTTTATTGTAAAAAAACCAAAAAACAGGGATAAAATCAATACCTCTTTAGACTAGTACAAAGAAGATTCAAAAACAATCAATAAAAATAAGTACTTTTATACAATATTTTTTAGCATTAGACCAACAAATTATATATATTCATAATTCTGTGAATTATAGGTTATCAGAATAGATGGTGGCGAATATCCTGCGAGAGCCGGTTCATTCAACAAGCTCGTAAACGTAACCAAAGACGAATGGGACGATATTGAAAGTAGAATTCGTCGTTTAAAGGACATTAAATGATTTTTGACCGAGTACCACAATAATTATAAATATATAAATTTATTAAATTTGTAATAGCGAAGTAAATATTAAAATATATGACTTCGGTTAGATGTTATGAAAACAAAATTTATGTACAATAAGCATTGAAAACAGACACCTGAAAGAAATCTGAATATATTAAAAATATTACATAACTCAGAGTATACTTAAAGTACAATAATAAGTTTTGCAAGTCTTATAATAATTAAGTAAAAAGATTTTGTGTATAATAGATTTTTGTATGAATGTGCATATACATCACAGAGACAAACATCATGAAGCAAACTGCATAGATAACCTTTGCTTGTTAAGGAAGGACGTCTGACTACATACAATCAGAGAGATCAAAAATCCAACCAATTTTTTTTTCTGTTTTCTTTAATATTAAAGATGGTTACCAAAAAACACCAAATTACAGGACTAATCCAAAAACTTCTCTTTATCATTTTCTCAAAAATATAATTTTGCTATCGGTCTCCAGTTCTATTTACTTTCTAGACCTTTATATAAAAAGGAACAGATCACTTGAAATATCACTCATTCACAAAACCGAGCAATTTGATAAGATTCAAATCGAAGATATTCTTTCAAATTGCCACTTACGGGTTCAACACGTAACAGAATGTTGATTGATTGGATTTTCAACAATGTGAACTTCTTGCTTGTTGCCATTTGTGGTTGTGTCTTCCTCCTCCAACGAATTCTGTCGGGACTGAGTCAGTTTGCGTGTGGTCAGACTCGGAACTGTAATAAACCAAAATTGGTTGTTTTAGAGTTTCTTAAATACGTCACAAAATCAAATATAAGTTATAAAGCGACAAAATTATTACAGCACACAAAATGATACTTATGTTAGGAAGCAGTTAGTTGTATTGTTATTAGATAAATTACCTTCTCCACATGACGATGCAGATGATGACTTACGGCGAAACTGGTTGAGTGCTTGTAAAAGAAATTTTGGATTATGGTTTTTAGTAGTTGACAAAATAAAAAAAAAATGCATTACAGAAAGTAAGGAACTGTAACGTAAAGAAAATACAAGACAATACATTCAAACTGCCATGAAAGATTTTTTAATTGCAGTAGCAGCAAAATAAATATAAAAATAGAGAAAAATAAAATAATAAAAAGCATACAGCAGTGCTCAAAAGAAAAAAAAAAAAACATAACACTGCATGCAGATAAAACAAAAGATAAAAAACATTCAAGAACATTAAAAAAAATTGTTACTCTTCAAAAACTGACCTAGAAATTAAATTTTCATTTTAATTCATAAAGATTTAGCAATAATTTTGGGGGGAAAAAAAAGGTAATAATAAATAAACTGAGGCATCTATCACTACCGAAGCATCGTGGAACTATAAAAAATCAATTTCCAGCACAAAGCAAAATTATTTATGTGCTGCATTATGTAATTATTTAAAATTACTGACCCTCTCTTCCTAATCCATCAATCAGATGTTTCACTGGAATTAATATTTGGGTCTTATTATTTCACAGAAACAGATGCCAATTTCAAATTCTCATTAACGATGATAGACCAATATAATTTTGGTAATTTTGTATAGATTTCCACATTAAACTAACTACAGAAAATTGAGAAAAACATACCATAACCAAGTCCCTGAAGGAAGAGACGAAACGCCTCGCTAACCTTTCCGGGTTGTTCTTCGAGAACCATTCCACAATCCGAGAGCTGTGTATCATTTTTCAGAATAAGTAAACATATAAATGCAATTTATGGGAGAAAAAAGCTTTTGAGAAAATAAAGAACCTTCATCCATGTTGAATTTGATGGGTCCAGTCGGCTATTCATGGTGACAGTATCTTCCAAATGAGGTGAGAGTGCTCCAGCTAACAGCAAGATGTGACAACTGAAAGAATGGTACAATAATAAAATTTTATATCTAGTTAAAAAATACAAACAAAATCACATACCTGAAATTTTTTGCAGTTTTCTTCTTGCTAAAGTCCATCTCACGAATGATTCCAAGATCACCTCTCCTTAAAACGGAGAAAACTTGTGTTATACAACGTTACTAACAAATGAAATCTCAATTAAAAAACTTATAAAACAAAAACTTACTTGACAAAAGTGTCTATAAACATTGCCAAATTCTTAGCATTTATTGATTTATTGAAATACTGTCGATAAACTTGAATGAGATCATGATTTCTTTCTTCTGTGACCTATTTTTTTTTTATAGGTGTTGGTGAGTAAAAAATATTACACATCAATAAATCGAATCAACGAAAATATACTTTTCCAAAATGATGCCACATCAGATAGTCCTGAGTAGAAGCAGTCATTCCAGAAGAGCGTAAATACATGGAATTTAATTTCTGATAACCCCATTCTGTCCAACCGGAAGGAGTGCAGCAGCAGTTGATGAGAAATAATCCATCCACACATTCTGGATGTGCCAACTGTTCAAATGTTAATATTTTAAAATTACAGAGAAGTCTAAAAGAAAATATTTTACTCAACATTCACATATTCTTAAAATAACTATGTTGAAATAAGTGTATTTTTAGTATAAATTTAAATATTACTAAAATAAATACACAAAGATGCTTTGAAGTATTAAATACTAGTTGAAGTGTATTATTTCAAACACTGGTTCCTGGATTAAATTTAGGGCAAATTTTCATAATTAAAAATTATTTAAGTTGGTGGCACAACTGTCTAAAATTAATTTAGAAAAAGTTTGGAAGATCAATCCAATGCAAGTTCTGCAACTCCTGCCTACCAGACAGGTATGCAGGAATTTCTTTCGGTTGACGCTTTACTGTGGGCATTAAGAGGGCCTCTTAATCATGCTATTCATGGGTTCAGCCAGGAATAAGGCCCAACATATCTGGGGCATATCACCGTCAAAATATTCCAAGCATTTTCCAACCATTAATTCAATCCTGGGTCTCCAGAGCAGTAGGCTGACAGCTTAAATCACCTTGGCCATTTATATACAGGAATTTTCAGTTAGTGATTGTTTGCTAATATTAAGCCCAATTACAATTACAATAATAATTCAAATTAAACTTAGTGTAATGAAAAAATAACCTGGCAATTTATATTTAGTTTTTGAGCTTCAGATGTATTGCCATCACAAATTCTATTAAGAAAGTTAAGTATAAATTATAGAGGAGGATTGTGCCAATATTTTATACAGGATACTCAGTTTCATCATGTCACATCAAAATAACATTATTATTGTTACCATAATTTCTTAACCTATAAATATTTCAGTAAATAATGCATTTGATAACCACATAAAATTTCAAAATTTTAGAATAATAATTTAAGAAATATCTGCTTTAACCAATAAACATATTGCTTTTGTAGCATCAACGTATTACTCTATGCTTGTTTATCATAGCCTAATTTATTGGATATTACATTCCTAATAAACCTTTTTATATGATTACAGTATATAATGTGCGCTATGTACTACTACATACAACAAAAATTTGAATATAGTATAACAATGTTTGTTATATTTTGTTTAGAAAGTCTCAAAATAGTTTTCTTTACCAACTATTTTTCAATAAAAACTGTCTTCTATGAAGAATTACACATACAAGAAGAAAGATATCGGCGAAGTGTTTAGCCGGCAGAAAAGAGGGTAAGGAGAAGGGAGAGGAGTTACAGTAGGATCCCTCTGAATAGTGTACATAAGGCTACAGTACCCTCTGTGTTTGATGTTGACATGCAGTTTTTAGGTTGTAAGGCCATAGTCTCCCCAAAGGGTCTAAAACAAAACCCGAGTGTAGCGAATACCAATAATTGAGTGCGGCCATGAATAGCTAAGTGTAGAAGTTAGTGCCAAGTGGCTGTTAGTAGGAAGACTTATATCTACTTAATACTAATAAAACTGAATGCAATCGCAAATCTTAATATTACTTAACAGCTAGACAGCATGAAAAGCAAACGAGCAAGACCCCAAAATTTTTGTTTGTTTATTTTTTGAAGAAGTACATAGTAAATTTAATACAAGACGGAGACTTAATCACCTGCTTTTAGTCTAAATTACTTTATATCTAAACATTTAATTGTCAAGTTATGACCTGCATCATTATTTGAAGAAAACTCAATACTTCATTTTGACTATAATTTTATGACTATGAAATAACTAATTGTAAATATTTTTCTTGTTATCTAAATGTGAAATCTGACAAACTTAACTATATTAAAGCAGAATCACGGATCCAAAAATAAATTACCCTTGCCCATGACATACTAGAAGGGCAGATTGTTTAATGTCTGTCTGTTAAATATGGCACAAAATCTTAAACACTTTTTTATTGTTATATCTATTTCTGTACATAAAAATTATTACTTCTAGATACAGGCTAGATAGTGTTGTTTCACAACAGTTATAATCAACTGATCACAGCTGTTATGAAATGTAGCATGTTTAGTAGTGATTATTAACATATTAGATAACTATATATTATACAAAAGTAATAGACTATACTATATGAGGTTTGTCTAACATAAGTGCACTCTGTGATGTTGTTTAATGAAGAAATCACTTAATGACTGGTGTACATTCTGAGAAATATGTCATTAAGCACTGCATGCCTGTGTCTAATTATAAATATAACTTTATATGAAAAATTTTTAACAATTAATTAACTTTACCAAAAAATCGGTAATTATAACAAAATTTATTTTGGTGTAATTATTGTGTTATTAGTGATTGTTTCTTAAATATATTACTATCAATTTTTGAATTGTTGGAGAGAGAATTTAAAAAATAAAGTATTTTTATTCTTGTACAAGATATTTTTAAATGCAATTTAAATTAAAGTATACAATTTTTGACATCTCCATTAAAGTATTTGTTATAAAAAGAAATTTATCAAAAGTTTCAGTCATGCATAAAATTCATTCATTCTAAAATAATGTGAAATTTTATGAGGAAAATAAAATTTCCTGAAACAAAAAGAGAGAAAAATAATTAAAGATTTTACATCTATTCTAGCTTCTATTTTTTTCCCAGCAATACAGTTGATTATACTGTGTTTAATTTCAATATATCCATCATTATAAATGTATTTTCTCATCTATTTCAAATCTATGTATCAATTCATCAAAACTTGCATGTTTCTACATATACTTTTTACTTCAATATTCTATATTTATATCTTGCATATTGTCAATTTACTCTCATCTATTATACACACATTATCTCCAAATAATTTTTATATATAAACAACACCCCCACCCATAGTATTTATTCTAATAAACCATATAGTTGAAACTGAAAAAAGTTATAGACAGTAAGCTGTTTATTACAATAAGCATTGTTTATACATACATTCTCCAAGCAATATTCAAAACTTTAATAATGACAACTTCTTTTTAATTAATTGCCAAAGTTTCTAAGGTATTTTAATTTCTTTATCCCATTTTTAAACTTTTTAATATCTTTTTTTACTATTTTTATTATTTATTTTCCCTCTCTTGTCATTTTAAATGTTTACTTATGTCTTAAATTGTGTCTAAGATTACAAACCTTATTTTAAAAACAGTAAACTTTGTGCTTTATGAATAAATATATCTTTGAATTTAGCTACCGTCAAGCCTCGCAAATCCTTTTTTTATGCAAATTGGTAAAGTTTGTGATACCTTGAAATACATTTCTACATAGTCAAGTTTGAAAGATGAATAGATTAAACTGGATTTTTGATGCAAGGTCTTTGTTCAAAATGGATCGTAATGCTGGCCTCAATTTTATTCATTGCCGTCGTCAGGCAAGCTTACTCGTAGAGGATATGAAACAAAGCCCCTAATCTTAACATCTACAAATTACACAAGTCCGGGATACAGATATTTCACATTAAGTGAATACCTTTACAAAACGGTCATTCAGCAACCAAACAATAGAGTTGTTCATCCAGTTTAACAATGCTCTTGTATGTTAATATTTATATATTCATCAAATTATACAATTAGGAGAATGCAAATTTACCCAACTAAATAAATAATTCTTAACATTCCTTCGAAGACACTTTAGTATTAAAATTATTCACTTATTTTTAATTGCAATTTATAATTTATTAACATAAGTATTATTAAAATTACAACTTAACTGAAAGGGCATGTCTTAACATAGTGTATAACTTAAAATAATAATAAATACTTTAACTTGGCACTTTCTATAAAAAACTGTACACATGTATATGCAATGTTTGTTTATTTAAAACAAAATTTATATTTAGAAAATATTTAATTTTATGTATTATTAAATATCCATAAGATGAAGAAAACTGGTTTTGTTAAAATTACACTAAAATTCCTGTACATTTAATGGATGTATTGATAAATCACAATAATATATTGTGAATAATACAGTGTAAGATATTAAAAATATCAATCATCCATATAAATACAAACTAACATATAAATGAATTTTATAACACTTTATTTTAATTAAAAATAAATTACATATTTATCTTTTTAGACTAATAAATTTATGGTTTTTTGTTTTATTAAATCAGAAATGGAGAAAAAGATGATTATTTATTTTCTGACTATTGAGTGACTATTTAAGAAACAAATATTGAAGAATTAATGAACAAAGATAAAAGAAACAACTTATGATTTAATCTAAACTGTTAAATCTAAGATTTTAAGCATTATCAATTTTAATCTCGAAATTTGCAGTAATTTACTTATTTAGAAAGGTGGTGTCATGTCTTCTAACCTTTTATATTATAATTTAAAGGATGATGATTAATTTTCAATTATTCTAATAAATAAAACTTTTATAAAAATATACTCACAGCAAACCTACAGAGAATATTAGCCCCTGCTCCAACACCAAAACCCACAAAGTGCTTAAGTCTAAATAAAATATATAAATTAAATTCTTGTTAGAAAACTTGTTTAATTATAATAGTCTTTTATCATCATATTAACATTTATTAAATTATTAAAACTATCAGTTAAAAGGAAACAGTCAAATATAGTATGTCCAAAATATCTAGAATCACAGAAGTTAGTTGTCAAACAATATGCTGAAGTTGCTTTCCTTCAATCTTCCAACACGTGCATTCAATGGAGGTTATGCAGATCATTTTTACTGTCACTTGTCAAGCTGTTGATTTCCGTATGCTCCGTTGAATACAAAATACAATATGTCGTCTGCAAACATACCTGCACTTTAAACGGAAACATGCCAATCACATTCGGTGAAAATATGTGCCGCATATTGTTTTAAAACTAACTTCTGCAATTGCAGATTTTTCGGGCACTCCATATAATAAATTTAAATGCATTTCTCAATTATTTGAGAAATTTGTACTACTGTATCATTTTTATTGATATAACAATGAATTTTTATTATTTATACGTAGTACATGACAGGAATATTCAAATTTCGCACTTAACTCAAGCAGTGTATTTAATTTGGTGTCACTATTTGATGACAAAATTGAACTTTCATTAGACAACTAAGATAAGTGACTCATTATGGTGGAACGTTTATATTTCAAGACAAATTTGGAAAAATTTTTACAATAAATTTCTACAAAATCTTTGATTATTTCATTTTCTAGAATTCTAGAAAAACTAAACATATTAGTTACTAATTTTGCAGATAATTCATTGAAGATAAACTTTTACCATTTTATACTTATGAATATATTTGATTGATAGCATTCTAAAGAAATTTGAATTTGAAGGCTGTTTAAAAAAAAAACTTGATTTTAAGGTCGGCAACTTTTTTAAATATTCCAAATACATCATTACATTAAATTCACGATTAAAATAAAATAATGTTATGTAATAAAACGATAAATTATACAATAAAAATATAAATTCTTACCCATAAAATTTCATCACTGACAAAAGCATTTCTGCCAATTGCTCCATATCAGGAAAAGTATATCTAAAATAATAGAAAAGAAATAAAATATTTTGTTGCATATGGTTCATTATACAATAAAAAAAAAAAAAAAATCAAAATTATTACAAAGAAAATATCATTTCATATTTTTTTATCGTGTTAAATCTAAATTTATAATTGTAAAGTCATTTGCTCCAGTACTTCAATTGAATTATTGATTTAAAATGATCTTCTGAGTCATTTTTATCACGTATCATGCATCACTATCAAGTCTAAATTTAATAGAATTGGCCATTGAGAAGAAAATATAGTATTTTTTAACATGTATTTTAGTTTTATTTTATGTATTTTATGTTTTTATTCATGTTTATATTCAATTGAACTGGATTGGATTGATAGGATAAGGCAATGCAACACATGGGCAATCTGCCAAGGAGAGGGTGGAGAATTTCTATGGGAAACTGGCCTTATTTAGGTGTATGGACATGTAAAAACAACCCAGAAAATGCCACACAGCCAGCCCATTGGTCATGAACACCACTCACAACTAGTTTTTGGTGGTGTTATTCACTCAGCCATTAGTGGGTTAAAAGATTTTGGAAGGAATTCTGTTTATTTTTTTTACTCTTTCTACTTTGTGACATTAACGGGGACTTTTTTATGCTTATCATAGGTTCACATTTATGATAAGCTTAAAAAAACCCTTGCCATATCCATAATGAGAGCAGTTGAACAAAGAGATAAGAACCAATAAATTTGAGTCAAACTATGAGAATTTTTGAAGATTCAGACTCAAACCTGGTTCCCTTGAGCATAAGCTGATGTCCTTACCATCCTGACCCTTGCAATGAATAATTATTAATTATAATTTATAGTGTCAAAGAAAAGTCTTATTCAGTTTTGTTAGATAATATAATTTTAACATTTCGAAATATAAAACATTTTCTAACGATTACATTAATTTTGCTAGGTTATTAACAAAGTCTTAAAATGTTGAAATAAATAATTATTAGATTTTCTACGTTTTTCAGAATGGTAATATCAGTATGATGATTTAGCAATTCTCATGATTTCTTTACTGGAATTCCTTCAATTAATTTTATAAAAGTTTTTTTTTCATAATTTTCTTAAATTTTATTATTCCAATTTATGTAATTTTCTACTGTTATAATGGAAAAAAAAAAGCAGATCAATTACCCATCTGGAAGAGGAGGTGCATCTTCTTCTTGTCCGGGAGCATTGACATGATAAACACAAAAACTCTGCATCAAGATTCGAGTATCCATAAAATTAAAAAATGCTTGGAAGTTGGATACATCTAAAAATCATAATTATTTATTTATTTTCATACATTCTCACAAATTCCAAATGTTTTAAATGAAAGTAAGACCTGAAACATTTTTAAAATTAAGACAATTCTATACTAAATCTTCTGTTATAGCAGCAGTTCTGAAGCTATCTATCTGAAGCCGTCGGACGTCATTCATATTTATTTTACTGCGCGGAGCATTAGCATCAATATATTCAAAAATCGATAAGCAAGTTCGTGTTTACTTTACTCACAAAACAGTAAAGCAATAAACTAATAAATTTTATTGTATTGTAGAAAATAGTCAACACAAAATTGTCTACAAATAAAATAATTTGTTTTAGTACATTGGAATAATTTTTCAAATAAACTTCAGAATCTTTTTTCTCCATAGAATGCTCACAGCAAGTTTGCGGAACAGAAATCATCTCTAACACCAAAAAAAAAAAAAATATTCCATTCTTTTAGCCTTAAAACTAAAGTAATTTGAACATAATTATCTGTAATTAACTATCATCGCAGCATTTATAAACATAAATATATTTCTATTATATTGATGTCAGAATATGAACATAAAAAAAAATTTGCTTTCTGTAATTTAAATTAGTGTCACGTAATAAACAATGATTAAGCAACCCGACTGACAATGAAGCAAACAACAGTAAAAATTCTTGATGATAAAATCTAAATATTTCATACTGACGATTTTCTAATTACGTGAAATGCAATTATCTATTTTCGCATATTAAATCTTTACGCAGGAAAATTTTAGAAGAGGAAATTATATTTAAAACATTTAAATAATTCTCTATTGAGAATATCATTAATGTGAGCAAGATATATGCAAAATTACTACAAAAGCAAAATCAAATTGAACTAACTTTAGATGTATTTATACGTAAAAATCTCATACATTTATTAATATAAAACAAATTATGTAGCAGGCATTTCCATCTTTACACATTATCAAAACAAAATTACACATACATGACTTCAGATAAACTTTTAAATAATAGAACAGATACAATAATCAGCATTGGTACAGAACTAAATCCTAAATAAAGATTGTTTTTGATATTACAGCATAATATTGCTAAAAATAACAAGGTTTAACAACTACTTTATGTTATCAAACCATAATAGTATAAAAAAAATCAATATTTATGTTGTAAAGCTAATTTTAAAATAATTATAGAATAAAAATATAAAATATATATATAGCCTACATTTAAAACATATTCTTCAGATTTCTTATATAATTTCCTCTTCAAATTAAATATTTAAATTATTTTGTTAACTTAAATCTGCCTTTACAATTAACTACGTTTCTTATTAAAATTATAAACAATTTAAATTTTCTAATCGGATATTGCATATTTAATACGCTTTATATGCCAAACGTAAACTAGGATCTTAGTATTAAATCGAGATATAATCTAAACTTTGAATACGTACGATTCAGGCCAATATCATGATAAGTCACAATAGCAGGTCGATTCCGTTCTCCCTGGACAGCAACTGTCATTGTGCCAAAGGGAGTATCAACCTTATCTTCCTGAAACAAGAATAACGCCTCTTAGAGCAAGTATTATCATTAATAATATTTTATTATTATAACAAGTAAACTTAACACTAACCTGAGTGTACGAGTCGCTTCTGGAAAGCGAACGCATCAGGGGTTGTCGAGACTCTATATTTTTTAATTCTATGTCATCCATTTTGATTTTTATGCAATCAAAGTTAAGTCTAAAATTAATACAAGATTTCATTATTAAAGCTGCCAAAAACAAGATAATTTATATTTGCAGCTGTCAAAATAATTTTTATGTAACTCCTTCTACGAGTGATAGAATACAATTTAGCTCGATTGTTTCTACATATTTTATATATAAGAAAAATCCCGAAATAGTGAAACATGCAACATCAACAATGGAGTTGGTAATTAGTGTAATTTGCCTAATTTTCATCATAATTGTGAGCATTGAACTGTACATATTTTGTCAATAGAAAAGTTTTATTAATTAAGATTATTTCTTCCATTTTTCTTTTATTGATTACAAAGCCAATTATGAAACCTTAACCTCTAAATGTTTAAAGAAAGACTGAAACTCAATTAATCATACTTAATACATGCTAAATAAACATCAATGATCCGTATCCTGCTGTCAATTATGAATAAAAGTAAATTCATGGGTTGAATCAAATATATAAAACACAGAAAATTATTTTAAATATTTTTATAACGAAATCACGTACAGTTTTTATGCTATATTATCTTATTTATAATAAAATATAGGTCTGTAGTGCCAACTATGTTTTATATGTTTTGATATTTGCAGATTTTTCATTTGATGATGGAGCATTATATAATGCAATTAAATACATTTTCACTATCATTATTATTATTAACAGGTGTGCTTGAATCATTTTTTTTCCTCTATATTACTCATAAAAATCTGGAACACAAAGACAATTGACATATTTAAATAGGATAAACTTGAAATATTTACTTTAACGTAAAATACAGTAACTGATTAAATATAATTTCTAGTAAAATAAATCAAAATAAACGTTATAAACTGGAATTCCTTATATATGTATACATTTTATATTACTACAATTAAACTATGTTTAATTTGTCTAATTTTAGTGAGAGAATTAATATAAGAGTGAACTAAATGGTAACAAACTCAAACAAAAAGCTTTCCATATCCATTAAGGAATTTATAGCAGAACAATTTAAGTAACCATTTCAGGTTCCAATTACATAAAAAAAAACAGATTAAGATTCTAGAACATCACTTATATGTAAATGATGTTCTAGAATCTTAGTTTCTTTATACATAATTAAAACCTGAAGATGGCTAATCAAATAGGCCAAAATATTTGTTCTGCCATATAAATTCTTTACTGGATAATATGTCAGATTTTGTTTCTATTATTATAACAGAAATGGTTAAACAGACAAGACATCAAACTATCACTCAGAGGACTCTGGATTGAACCCAGACGAGCAATTCCCCAAAATGTTTTCATGGGCAGCCTATACCAGGTATGTTAGGCCTTGTCTTTCATAACCAAGCACCCCCATTGTGGGCCTGGCTAAACAAATGAAGAGTACGGAAAAAGGCACTCTTAGTGCACACAGACTAGGTTTAAAAAAAAAAAAAAGCCAAGAAACTGTACTGATTATCATTAATATATACAATAAAACTATGCATTAATATATCTATTTTATGCTTAATATAAAACTAAATTCTGTTGCTAAATCAGTTTTATACTGAATTTTGTTTGATAAATGTAAAAAAAATTTTTAATTCTGAATAATAAAAACATCAATTTGATATTTTGCATTACAAAACAATTACAGTGTATAACCTTTTTAATTCTCGATTCCTTTTGTAATTACAATCTATTTATACAAACAATAAATGAATAATCATCATCTGACTTCTTTACAATAAGATTGTATATATCTATATGTAGACAGATCAAACAGACAACATTCAAATGACAATAACTGCTATTATAAAATTAAATAATTCTATTTCGAGATGCTAAATAATGTCAAAATAATTATATTTTTCAATATCTTTATTAAAAATTATTACATTAAATGCTGTCAAACGGGTGACCTATTCAAAACATTGCTGTATTTATAAATGCAGTTTAATATGACAGAAGCTTAAATCAAATCAAAATAATTTAACATATTAATTACTTTCTTAAACAGTATTACATATCTATTTATTTAAAAATTTATGATCTGTTAGCTAACGTAACAAGATCTGAAATTTTATTTGAGAAGCTTCCTAAATAATAAATCAATCAATTGCTACCGCATTCAGTTTTTTTTTCCTTGTCACATTGGAAAGTTTTTAAAGAAAATATTTAATTCTAATCTAATGAAAATGCATATTTTGGATTACAATTTCTTAAATTTACTAAATAGAATATATATTTTAAAATATTTTCTTGTAATTAATTATATATAATCAAGTGTTCTCTTTTTTCTAATATGAAGTGAGAAATTTTATTAATTTAATACTATTTTTATTGAAAATATAAATATACAAGATGAATCATAGGACATTACATATGTAAATACGTTTGTTTTGATATATAAACTGCTGTTATATACATAAACATGAACTTTTATGGAAATTCACTTTAGGACTTTCTACTTTTAGTTAACATTCTGCACAGAAAATTAAATAAACAGAATAAAACAGAGAGATTGCGGCTCGAGAACTCGAGGAAAGTACAAATTTACCAAAACTAACTAAGATTTTGATGCGAAAATATAAAAAAATTCTCCTAAATATAATTAAATAAATTGTATATATATATACACAATCTTTCTTAAGTATGATATCTCTTCATACATGAATACATTTTTCAAATATATCCAAGTGTTTTCTTTAATTTTTGTAGGTTGACAAATATTTATTTAATATTTCTTGTTTTTTAGGAGAATTTTACAAATTTCCATATCAAAATACCAGTTTGTAATAGTAAAATGGTGTCTTCGTCAAGTTCTAAAGCTGAAATCTGTCTCAATTTTATTCCATTCATTTAAATTTTTCTGTGCAAAATGTTGAATAATGAATTCTTAAATAATATTCATTTATTTCTTCTTATTTTAAGGAGAATTTTGCAATTTTTCACATGAAAATCTGAATTTGTTTTGGTAAAACTTCAGCTTTTAAGCTGCAATCTGTCTGAATTTTATTCTGTTTATTTAAATCTTCTGTGCAAAACGTTGAGTAATGAATCCACGGCATTTCTTTTTTAAATTATTATTTTATTTTTTTGGGGGGTAATTATAAATACAAGATCTTGTATGATATAAACACAGTACAACAGAGCAGCCTCCATTGAGAAGACGGTGCGTTCAGAAAAAAAAATCCAAATGCTCCAATTACGTCATTAACTATGTTAATTTCATCGAAATCGCTAATTAAATTTTACACCTAATTATATCTATGTATAAATCTTTATTCGATTTTTTTTAATCCTTTTATCAATTTTTAATTGTATTTAATAATTAAATAATTATTAATAATAAATAAATGAAAATAAATACCTGAATTTGTTGGAAGTATTCTGCAAACGACGCCGCAATGACACAAAGAACACAGTCTGATAACGTCACTCGTTCTTGTAGATATTGACCAATAGACGATTCGCTCCTTCCTCGTCTCTTATTGGTCGCCGGCGTTCACGTGATGAAGGTGTGCGCGCCTGAAACTGATTGTTTACAGTTTTGATGCTCGTTACCACGTGTTCGTTTGCCATAATATTTTACAGTCGTTTCCTACGTGCTGTCGTTTATTTTATTATTAAGCCATAATAAAATGATTTAAAATTTATTTTTTTAAAATAATTTCGCGTTTAAATTTAATTGATTTTTTAAAATTAATTTCACGCTTGAGTGAGTAAAATAAGCATTAAAATTACGTAAAGAATGGACATTTAATCAGTATTTTAATCCAATTAAGAACGAATTTTGAAGTCGAATTAATTGTTTATTAAATTTCGAGGGTCCTTTCGCAGCCTGCACGCGGTTTCGCTTTAATAGCTGTCCCATAAATACCAATTGTAGGGGGGATGTAACATCCTTTTTCCTTTCCAATCGACTGCAACACCTCCCTCAACAGGAACTTCTGCCAAAAAGGTGACCTTCAAGATACAAATATCCTCCATAGCGCTCAAACAAGATTAGAATTACAACCATCCATTTTTGCCAGGGATAGCTTGTATATAACGCAATTTCTATCTACAATGTTTTTAACGATTTAATACATTGCCACACATTTACTAGGAAGTAAAATAAATAAAATCGTATCATCGCTTTATTGGAGTAGTTGTGTGTCACAAGGGAATCCCGACAAATATAAAAATATCGACTTTCTTCTGCCGCATATACGAGATAAACTAGCAGTAATTGTAAGGTCATTACCCTTTCATAAACATCTCAGAAAAAAAAAATAAATACGGTTCTTCATTCAATTTTAATAAATCTATTGAGTTTAAGGTAATAATTTAGTAAGGTAAAGCAGGTTTTTATTTAAATTTACGCGAGTTTTGTTCGACAATGCGGGGTAAACTTTTAAAATGTGGTGTAATACATTACTGTTTTTATATAGTAATATTAAAATATTTTAAAGAAAGTGCCGAATAACTTACCAGGAGTTTTTAATTACCACAAACAAAAGTTTCTGCAGCGTAAATGACGTTAAAATTTCGCAATATTTCGATATTTTCATGAATTAATTAGTATTCGAGAGTCATTCGTTAAAATTACTTCCGATTTAATTACAGTATCGAGTATTTAATATATTAAGTTAATATTTTATTACGAATTTTTCTTGATATTTCTATATAAATTTACCTGTTTAATGCAACATAAAATATTAGTTTTAGCAATTATTAACGCTGGAAAAAAATATAATGCAAGATTATTAAAATTAAAGCTTCTTATTATATATAATAAATATTTAATAATGAGGTAAAGATTTTTGCTTGAATTCATACGTTAATTGTATGATTATATTATATTATTGCATTTATTTTATGTAAACTTTTGTTAAATCATAATTGGCTTATGCACTTGATTCATATCAATTTTAATTAATAATAGGAATAATCTACAAAATAATTAGACTTATTAATCAATTTTCAAATGCTTAGTTAACATTTAAAGGAGAACTTTTTTAAAAAATCAATTATCTATTTAAAAGGAGGATAAAATTAAATATTATGCCTACAAAACCATAAATACGGGGTATTTATTGTAACGTAGAAATGTTCTTGTCATGCATCACCAGTAGTTGATAACTCAAGTTACAGAAGCGTGATGTATCGGAGCTATTTTAAAAATTGAAGGTTTGTAACAAAGTTTCTATAGTAACTCCTATAGAAAATCGTTATTTTCAATAGAAGGTGATCTATTCTATATCCGATAATAGCTTCCAACTGCAGACTAAGTTATAAATGCACTAGCAAATAAACTGCAAATCGACCTTAATAGAAGAGGTCACTCCAACATTATGTCTATAATTTTACCGAGGGGCCCACAGGATTTACCAATTTAACATTTGCAAGAAACTTCCTTCCTAATGGTGTAATTAAATAATTAGAAAAGTAGCAGAAACTCGGTTAGAAATTATATTTTATCTAATTTTTAGTGTAAAAAATTAATTATTAATTTTTTTTAATTTTTAACAAAGCAACAATTAATCATTCATCTTATTTACAATAAACATTGACTGCAAGCACGATAATTAGACTGAAGCAACCCAACTGAGGGATTAAAATGTAAAAATAAAAATAACAGATAATCCTATAATTTTGTTTAAAGTCCTTCCTTCGGTTGGACTATTTCCAATTCCTAATTCTGGATATTGGGAATGCGGGTAAATTAATAGCATTTTATTTTTAAACGTCAGAAAAAATACACTTACTATATTAAAAACTGAGGAGAGAGGCCTATAATCTCCATTTTAAAAGATTATTGTAAGTTTTTATCATCATAAAAATTAACCAATTAGATAATCTACATACTGTATGACACATGGAATAACCTATATACATAACAATAAAGATTGACTACGTGCTAGATCACACGTCTATGAAAATTATAGGCCAACATGCCATAAATTTAACATCGCGTATCGCCGAATATCTAACAGATTAAAAAAAATTTTTCATTTATTTTCCTATGTATGAGTGTCGAAACAGTTTCCTCCTAAAACCCTATTTCCACCTTATAATATGCAACAGTACAGGTTGGCATCAACAAGGTTATATTTCGCAATAGGAACATTCCATTCAACTTGCTAATTTCTGTAATAGTAGTAGTATTTAGTTCCTTTAACTTATTTAAAGTTTACGCTCGATAAGTTTTTAAAAATCATCCGGTTTGCACATCTAAGTAGGCCATGGTTGATTAGTACTTTAAATAAATAAATAAATAAAATATGCAATCTGTCTTCCAATTTATAAATTAATCTAGAATATTCTAGAGTTTGTGTAGTTTAACTCTTGTATTAATCCCGTATAGAAGATAAATGGTGAAGAAAAGCAAACAACTATCGATTCGCGCACCATGTTAACGAGACATAAAAGTCGCTACGTCTACCTTATCCTTGCCATCTCTACTTCATTATTTTCGGAAATAAATGGCGAACTGATTTAATAGAATAATAATAAAGTTATAAATAAATAAATCGACCTTGCAATTGTGTAAATACACATCCTTAACTTGCAGTCACCTTAGGTACAAGGCTACCTTTTTTAGTTTCTTATTTAACTAGTCGCTAGTGTAAACAAACACGCTGCAAACTTCTAAGGAAAGAAAAAAAATTCTGTAAATTAATAAAAATTTCATATTTATTCAAGTTCTTTTCTTTATAAAATACTCAATATTTGTCGTAGATTATTTTAAAAGATAACAGACAACATTAATTAAACACACAAAATAATAATAATAATACGCTCGAACACATCAATCATTTGTGACGTTCTCGACATGGACGGTTTGGCCATCTATCGAACAAAATTGCAATTAATTGGTCCCACTAAATTCTGTCGTCTTTTTTTTTTTGTTTTGTTTTAAGAATATTTTTTAAGGCATACGCACGTGCCCCTCGAAGTCGGGCCTCGTATCATTGCTCACGAGTGTTTTTTCGCTCCCTGATACAGGGTACTACATATGTGTAATGTTCAAACGTAGCCGCCGCTCCGCAAATTCGCTAGGGCTACGTCATACGGGGGTGGACTTTGGTCGTATTCGTATGGATCCTTCTTCACAACGCTGTCGTAGGCGGGAGGCGGCGAAGGCGTACCTGGAATCACGTGATAAGTTTGTGCCGTTAATGATGATGTGGATATGACGTGAATCTGAAATTACAGTCAAAATTTTAAAAAAAAAATAGTATATACACAATAAAGTATGTAACATTTCTTCCATAAATAAAATTTTAAGAAAACTATTTTAAAATAGTTTACGATGTTTATGATTCATAAAAAAAAAATTGAACAGTTAAGAAAACGATTATTTAATAAGATTAATTTTATAACATTTTAAATATATTTTTCGCTATTATTTAAATATAACCGATATAAAAAGTTTAAAATCAAATTGCACTAATGAAATTCATAATAATTTACAAGATGGCGCTAATTACTTTATTATTTTTTCAAATTATAAACGTTGTGGCGCCATCTGCCATTAATTTGAAAAAAAAATAATATAATAAATTGTAATTAGCGCCATCTGTCATTAAGTAAATTATCTATTTTTAAAATAGTGTTTTTAAAATTATTTTTTCTTACTTGTTGTAAATGTGGATGATCTCTTATTCTTTCGCTATCATCTAACGATATCGTATCTTCTCTTAATTTCTTTTGACAACAATAACATAAAAGGAACAATAAAAAAGTACTGCCTCCAAACATCGCCCTGTAAAGCCATAAATATGAATTTTGTTATTATAAGAAATTTATCTTATTCCCGATCCACCCCTAATTCGTATCAATAATCAATGGTATCGTCCCTCTTCGGGCGTGGTTCGTTTTTTCGATCTCGCTTATGATTGGATAATTATTTTAAGTAGACATTAACCATATTAATTGGATGAGTTTCTCAAAATTAAATTAAATATTGTAATAATAAATATAAATATTTATAAATAATTCATTATTAACTTTAATTTCTACTTTTTTTAAACGCGTAATATTTTTAAAAATTTAAATATTAACGCCAGACAAACCGGCGCCAATAGCGCCTCCTGCATTTAAAAAACATGCACACTATTTTGTAATTAATAAAAAATTAACAAAAAAATTAATTATATAATAATTTGTTTCATTTTATGTAATATCTACGAAATACGGTTGCACGTTTTTTTTTAATTATACGTTATTAATAAATAAATAATATTTACGCTAATTCAATTTATATTCAAATTTTAATCTCAATTAAGAAAACAGTGACGTATACACACTATAAATTAATCTCGAAACGGCTCGTTTAGCAATTGTTAAAACTAAATTTAAAAAAAAAATAAAACGGTTTAGTGTTTACGTGTAAAATTTATATATTTTATAAAACTTCGAAGAAACACCTGAGGCGAGATTAATTTACTGTAACTGACTTCGAGTCACGTGGCCGCATTATTACTATCGTAATCACAAATTGATCGAGCGATCCTTCTCGTACTCTTACCGGTCGATCCTTAGAACGTCATGCTTTACTAATAAAAATTCCAAACATATTAAACTGCCGAAGCCAAAAAAATGACGAATTAAAGCCTAAAATCGCGATAAGGAACGTACGAATATTTTGCAATAAATTCTACATAAATATTTTAAAAAAATTATTTCCCAAAAAAACTCTTATCGACGTTCACTTTAGTTTTTATTGCCGCAGTTTATCCTTGATAAAAAAAAATAAGTAGGAAAAAAAATGTATTATTATTAATATATACCCCGATACACGTGTCCGAAATTACCCGCTGTCAATATTAATTAAGTAATAAGCTGTCGGTAAACATTCAAAACGTATTGATACTAAATTAATGTTAAAACACGGAGTGCATGTGTTAATTATTATTAGCTTTAATGTTAAATTACTAATACATTCCCGGTGTAGGTTGGGTCTACACTTTCTTCCGAAAGGGGACTTTTTATTATAAAAAAAAAAAGTTAATTTAAAAAATAATAATAATAGAAATAAAGCAAGCCGGACGTCATAGCAACGTCCACAAATCGACCTTTTGTTGTAATAAATCCTGAAGAAAATTGCTGTTTTAGAAAGACGAGGATAGTGTTTGACAGGACTTACCATGCTAAAGGGATATTAACGCTTCCGACTGCGTGCCTGTCGGCCAATTTACCACTTCCCATGATACGAGGGAGACTAGGAGAACGTTCCAGCTTGCTAGTTTGTACACCGGACAGGTGAGACAGCTGGTTGTCTTACCTGTAGCGAGTTATCCAATCAAAAGCCAGAGCTCCGAACCACTCCGATAGGACAAGCCGGCTTCTGCCGAAAGATTCGAATTTTAAAATAAATACTCACATAAATACAATGAGAGAATATGAACCGAATAAACTAGCCTCCATATTACGAATTGCGCGTCCTGTAAAATTGTAAGGAAACATATTAGAAACTGAAAAGGTCAAAGGAAACGTTTTAGCGGAAAGTATTATGACGTCAGATGTTTAGTATTGCGCGAAAATATGTAAAGTTGGGTAAAATAATTAATGAATTACGTATTCGTTTGTTTTTATTTTTCCGAGAATACGTTTGAAATATTCTTTTGTTAAGTCAATTAAGTACTGTAATTTATTCATAAGTCAAATTTAGTTGTAATTTTAATCGGCAGATGGAGGCAGAAGAATTATGAGGAAGTGACGTCGTTGGGAGTTTGTCAGAATATGTAACAGTAAGTTTCATAAGGGAGTGGGAATTTCTAATTATTACTTAAATGTTTACGTATAAATTATTGTCGGGAAGTCATTCTTCCAGTTTTATAACTTGCGTCATAATTTTCTTCTTTATCTTTAAAGTTTTTATTTATTTAAAAAAAACATACGAAACTAAATTTATATTTAATTAATAATTAATTATTTAAATTTAAATTTCCTTTAAAAATTTTAAATAAAAAATGAAACAACTCAAGAAAAAACTTTATCATCATTTTATTCCTAATTTCCCTCCATCCCTAAATCGTCTGATAAAATATTCTGTAAATTTCCCTAATTTCTTTATAAGTTAGGGAAAAAATCAGATAATTTCGGACGTCGACCCTAAACGATTATTGACCACTTTCAGACTATAAAAAAAATCTTAAATTATTTAATAATGAAACTATTTTTATAAATATTCGTATCGAATTTAATATAATAATGTTTAATATATTTGAATCGTTATAAATAATCGAGGGATAAATTCAATAGTCTTAAAGAAAATCCGCCATTTTGATTTCATTCCAATTGGTTAATTGCTGCCACTTTTCTAGCAATACTGTAATAATAAATGTATCAATAATAAGCGTAATACCGTGACGAAGGGCTTCCTGTGTAGACCCATAAGAGAAGGCCCTTCTGTGACAAAAGACCTCTATTAAATAGAGGATTCTATACAGCACATGAGCGCTCTAAAGGAACCTTAAAGGTAGCGGGGGATCCCTTAGAGACGTAATTAATATTAATTTTATGAGGCTAATTACACTTTTACGTCAATTTGACGTATCTGTAATGTAAAGCGTACGTAATGACGTCAAATTGACGTAAAAACGTACACTGTCCCGACAAAAAGAACACGCTTCTAGATAAAGGGCGGGTGGTGTTTAGAAAAAGGGAGCTAACGGAGGCATTTTATGACCCCCGAATGTATTAGGGCCAGGTAATTTAACTTTTTACGTGAGAAAAACGTTGTATAAATGAAAGCATCTTTTGTTAAGTAGTGAAATGTGCGATTTTATTGATTTATCCACATATTTTTATGGCTTTCGTAGGGGTTGGAAGTCCACGTTTGTGTCTAATTCGAACTATATAGCGCCTGTCTCGATCCAGGGATTAATGCCCAGTTTAGCTGTTATATATAACAGAGCGAAAGTATGGAGATCCGTCAATAAATGATCCCTTAAAGTTTTTTACTTTTTTCTACTCCGGAAAAACCTTGAAACGTCGAGAAATGCAAAAAATCTGGGTTTTTTTTTCCTATATGTATGGATGTGAGCGTGTATTTGGGATACGATTTTCTTCACCCTCTTTAAAGCTTAATAACTCCTGTGCCTTTTGTCCAAATTTTCTAAAATTTTGCAGGGAGGTTCGTGTGTTAGGAGCATTCATCCTATTAAATTTCGGAGGTTAAAGGTTAAGAGGTTGGGGAGATTCGGGGGATCACGTATCTCCATCGCAGTCAGACTTAACGATTTTACTGGTTATTAGCATTTACAATTTTATTTTTATTTTTATAAAATTCGTCTCGACTCTTTAATATTATGCTTTTTGCCATTTTATAATAAATAATTATATAAAAAAGTTTTGTATACAAAATATCCTAACAGATGGCGCCACACGCAATTTAAAATTTTTTGCAGGGAAAGTTACGCAACTCGTTGTTGTTGGATTTTTTTTCCAGTTTGATTTATTTCAACTGAATTTTTTACATATTTAGTTAGAAATTTCGTTATACTAAGTCATTACTGTGAAGATTTATATACATTGCAATAAAAGCTTACATAACGAAGATAATAGATTTCGAAAGTTAACTAACTAAAAAGCTTGTAATATATCAAATTAAAAATTATTTTCTTTTTAAACTGTTGTACCTTTACGTATTTAAATATATAATCATACAATAGATTAATTTATAATATGTTAATTATGTTTTTTAGTTGGAGGAGTTATGCTTTGAGTGATTGCTTCCAATGCTCTGTCAATGGGCGCTAGAATGATTATTATTATATTTTATGGTAACAAAGCTCATATTTTCTTTTAAAGACAATGAAAAGAAGAAAATAAACTTACTTTGTATAGAATTCCTTAATATAGAATACTCTAGAAAAAGTAATTCTCTATCATAGCTATGGTAACAATGGTAGCTTGATGAATGTATTTTACTGTACTAACCAAGTTTATAATTTCGTTAGCAAAATAAAATACTTTTAGGTAATAATAATAATACAAATAAAACACAACATACAAATTAATGATTGTTTTTTTTTTCTGTGTCTTTGATTTGTTAATTGATGACACAGCCTATTTTTGAATCCAGGTATGATTTTTTTTTAATTTCTAATTGCATAAAAAATATTAAATTTTAAATTTTATATCGATTTTTTAAGAGAAATAATTACTTTTTAAGTATTTTTAATGTCGTGAGTATCAAACAGGATACGTCTGCTATTCTTTTTCGCATATACTGGTGCCAAACAACATAGCAGACACACACACACGCCTAGTCTGTGTGTGAAAGTAAATCATTTGTCTCGAAAAGTTCAATGTGTACTTTGGTATGCAATATCTTTCATTCGGTTAACAATTAAAATAAAAATAAAAATAAAAAATCTGCGGATACAAGAATCTATGCATATATAAACAGTGCTTAACACGATAACAATCTGGAAGAGGTAATTGCCCCCCTCTTCCCTTTCTTCCTGTGCTATTAACCGAACACCTCGAAATGATTTTTTAATGTATAAATTACTAAATTCGTTTGTTTTTAAATCTTAAAAGATGCCAACTTATACCTTTAATGACAAGTCATTTTACGTGTCTTTAACTTTTGCAATCCTCCTGCAGCTTCTTCCTTTTATCCCTAGTTAATTTAAGCAGTTTCTAACGTGTTACTTAAGTACTGTAGTAATAAATACTTTAGATTCTTTACAAATTCATTTATGGTCCTAGTAACTAGGTTAAAGGAAGATAAAAACAGTTATAAAACATACCTGTGTCTCTCTCTCTCTCTCTTATACAGTATAATAAAACTGCTTTTAATTGTAATTTTAATTAATTATCAATGACTTGACGTTACTTAAATATTTCGATCTTATTTCCGCCATTTCACACCTTCATAAATGTTACTGATTTTTAAAAAAGTCTCCCGTCATGACACTAAAACCTGTGTAAGCTGGATTCGAACGGTATTTTCCGGTTTGACAGGTTTCCGTTTTGAACAGGTTTTATGGTGTATTAATGTAATACAAAGTATCGATTTTAAGGTTACTTCTGGACTTTCATATTCGTATAAATACTACTACACGCAGAGCTTTAGTTTTTAATTAATTACACGTTGACCCTATTAAGAATCAGCCAGCACTTCCTAAATTATGATGAAGTAATGGCTCACCCGTAGACTAAAAACAGGATAGGAAGAGAAATTAGGATCCATTTTTTTTAAAGTCTGATCTTTCTAAATTTATCAATTTAACCCACTTCTTTTGAAAGAGTCAATTGCTAATTTGACAATTCTCTTCATTTCCAAAATTAAACTTTATCACGTAAAAAAAGAGGCTTTAAATACCAAACTTTGCAGATAAATTTAAAGAAAAGCTGACCTTTTTTTGTATTAATTGTTCAAAATTAGATTTAAAAAATTAATTACGGGATGAAAAGTAGGTTGAATAAGTTATGATAAAAATCCTGCAACGAGTTGCTTAACTTTCCCGGTAAGAGTTAAAAATTGTGTGTGTGCTGCTCCGTCTGTTACGAAATTTTATTTTCATAAAGTTTTTATATTATTATATTGTAAAGTGGCAAAAATTTTAATTTTGAGGGTAGAGATGAGTTTGATTTTTAAAAATTGTAAATATTAATAACGAATAAAAGGCCGCGTTTCTTTATGCAGCGCTCGAGAAGCGCTTTACAGCGAACACACTGAAACTGGTTTCTAATTGGCCAACACTGCTCGTGACGTCATTTCGCTACATTCTCGCTGCATAAAGAAACGCGGGGAAATATTCACTAATTCCGACCCCACTCCAGACACTACACATGACTACCCTCTATTTCCTCATCCCCTCGACCTTTGACCACCAAAATTTAATAGCATCGATCTTCGTAATACCAGAGTCGGTAGATTAACTGGTCTTTCGACTAATAGTTCAAACTTAGCTAGAGACAATATTTGCCGCTAGTCGGCGCCACTGTTAGCAGGAGATCGTTGTTCTTGCTAGGTATATACTGAAGTCAGTGATTTTGACCTATAATAATTGTTTTTTTAGCTACATAAAAATGCCAACGTGCTTTGTGCCAGGATGCAAGGCAGGATATAAGTCATCGAACGAGAAGAGACATTTCTTCCGTGCTCCTAGCGATAAGATTGAGGAGTGGATGCGATGCATTCCACGAGACGACA